TGGAACAACATCCCATGCTCAAAGAAGCCAAATCCCTGCTGGCGAGACCACCTGCACAGCCAGGTGTTGATCTGCAGGATGCACCTGCTTCTGCCCAGGCCCTTTCCCTTGACCAGAAGGATTAATAAGAACACAGCCTGACTTCTGCTACTGAATATTGGGTCCAGTGCTCTCCTTCACTAAATATCGATTATTTTTCTTACAGATGGACGATGGGCTGGAGGGGAGTTGCTGATGAGTAGCACATTTAATGAAACACTTGAAACTGAAAATACATTCTTGATATTATATACACTTTGAAAACTGGAGTCTCTTGCATTTAAAAAAAAAATTGACAACTGGGAATCCTTTATCACAGAGAGCTATTTCTAATGGTTATTAGCAGTTTAAAAGTAGTGTCACTTACTCTGAGCAATCTTATTGATAAAAGCTCTTGTTTTAAAGGACAGCATCACAGGGGGAATGAATGAGGGCAGGAGACCTAGAGGACCTGATTCTTTTCTATGTAGTTCTATTCACCAAGCTAAATATGAATATGGTGAGGGTTCTTCCTACTCAGATGAAGCACCATGCACTTCTCCCTGTTAAACCTCATCTGATTCTAATCCACCCATGATGAAATGATGTATATTGCTAACTAATCGGGTGGCCTTGGTCTGATGAAAAAAGTCACATTTTTTATTCTATATTTCACCAACTATATATAGTTAAATGGCTCCTTTTGTGTTGAGGATCAGTATACTTAAAATTTAAAAAATAAATGTTAATCTATATAGGTAGTTGGCCAGCTGTTCTGTTGGGTAGCTGTCCAAGGAGATTTCATGACAATGAGTCTCTGTTCTTGTTTTACCTTGGTTTTGGGGAACTGAAGAAATGTTTAGGAGATTCCTAGTAACTTAAAATTGTTAGTGTAAAAGCTTCCGTTTCTTAGGGCATACGGTTATCTTCCCAGGATCAGATATGAACAGGCATAATTAAACTGACACTTGGAAAAGTACTTCTGTTTACTCATTCTAGGAAATGACATTTATAGAAATATCAATATTTTTCTTCTGTTGTATAGTGACTCAGATGGGAAGATGGGTTGTCGCTGGAGGGGCAGCTGTTGGCCTTGGAGCTCTCTGTTATTATGGATTGGGGATGTCAAATGAGATTGGAGCTCTTGAAAAAGCCCTGTAAGTAAAGTACAAACTTATTATGGTTTCAATATAGGTTATGTAAGATGCAACACCTCATTGACTTGCATGACTTCCCTTAGCCAATACTCTCCAGCAGACATCTCTCCCTTTAAACAGAATGTTTTTTAAAAAACAAATCCCTGTTGACTTGGCAGCAAGCTTCTTGTTTTCATTTTTGTGTATAAACAAATGTTAAACTTGAGCTTTAAAGCAGTTTGGCTAACTACTATAAATGATGACAACCTCATTCCTAAGCTTGTAAATCCTGTAAATGTAGCTTGCTTGGCTCCCACTCTCATAGGATGTGCATCTATAGACTTGCCTGGAGAATGTCAAGAGTGAAAAATACAGGAGGGGGAGAGGGTCTGACATCCTCTCTGTGAAAGCAGTAGTTGAGATTACATTACTTGACATTCCTCTGAGACACTTGCTTATTGAACAAAAACTGCCTGAAACTCACCTGGAGCTGTAAGAAAATTAGAACATTGTGAGCAGGGTCATAACTATTGCCTGCCTATCTGTCTCCTGTGAACACTTATTACTTACAAGAAGTATCTGCCCTTGGCATAATAAATTCTGTTCCACATCCACAGTGGATGTGTAGCAAACTGTTCAATGAAAAAGCCTACCTGCATTAAAATCAAGTCTAATTAAACTTAAATGTGCACTTTAAAATTAAGAATTCTACCCAATATTGGAACTCTGACTAAAAACAGAAGAATATAGAAAGTAGCATCTCATTTTAGTCTTCTGTTGTGTAAATATTGCCATTGATCATCATCTGTGTTAACACGCTGGGGACTAGTTTGTACTTCTCTGAACTGCTTGTTTCATCAGCCAGAAAGAGAACCTTTTGTCAAAAAGTAAAATGGCAGGAAGCATACAGCACACCTCAGCTGTCAAGGAAGAAATGCTCTGTTTGTAGTATGATCCTTCCTTAACTGTATTTAGGAACAGCAGTACAGAGGGTCTAAGGTATTTTGAGAGATACCTTGGTGACTTTTCATCTTCTCACTAAGTGGGTTATGGCTGGTGCACATTCTACAAATACTTCCTTTTTTATACTGTGTTTAAACTTAAAGTAGTGACTGTGTGAATATACTTCAAAGGCAGCTTATGCTCTGGAAAGAGGACTTGAAAAACGTTGGGTTTTTGGTTTTTCTGTTTGTAATAGAACGTTGTCCTAAACTTAACTGATACAATTCTTTGCAAGCAACTTGGTGGAAGGGAAGCTAACACATTCAAAGCCTAGTATAACTTACAGCAGAAGTCTAAACTGAATGGTGCATGCCACTCTGAGAACCACTGTTCTAACAGCCTTTTTAGACTTGAGGCACACCTCCATAACTTCTGTGAATTAAACAGCACCCCACTTCAAAAACTAACTTCATTAATTATAGTGCTTGCCTTCTTGCAGAGGGGCCCAGCCAGGGAGGGGTGTGGGGGGCAGTGGCCAGGCATGAAGAACCCAAGCCTGGCTTATTTTCTCCCTCCTTGTGGCACACTTAAGGGTCTCAATGCCCCAGGTCTCTGGTTGAGAGTCACTGTTACATGTTCTGAATAGTTGCAACAACTCAGTGGTACTAAAATGAAGAATGAATAGCAAGAGCTATATGAACAGATAGTAAGATAACTATTCATCACATCTTCTTCTCTCTTTTAAGTATTTGGCCTCAGTATGTGAAAGACAGAATCCACTCTACCTACATGTACTTTGCAGGAAGCATTGGCTTGACAGCAGTATCTGCTGTAGCAGTCAGCAGATCTCCTGCACTCATGAGGCTCATGACAAAGCGATCTTGGCTGGTAAGCTGATTTGGACTCTTCAACAGAACTTTCAATATTGAGAATAGTACATTCTCATATGAGATGTATTCAGTGAGCTAAAAGCTGCCCTGGTTCTGACAGCTGGTACTAGCAGTATGGGGTCTTTAAATAATTAGCGACTACAAACTTTTATGTTCATTAGTGAAGGCTCACTCCACCCTCTGCCCCAGTGTAACAGAGCAGGAGCTCCCTATTCAGAAGCACCCTAAGTTTGGTGAATTACAAAATGACCAGTCACTGCTTTTCATGTCAGTTTAACTGAAGACCTGGAGCTGGCTAGAAATTCTAATTTTTAAATACTTGTTGAGAGAGAAACTTTGTTTAAAAAACAACAACAACAAAACCAAACATTGAAACCCTGCCTTCAGGAGACCTGTCCAGTTTTCCTACTAACTTCCCTGTAACCTGCCTAGCAAGCTGCTGAGGAGTCCAGAGCTGAAAGTGGCTCACTGTACAAGACTGCCTCTACAACTCCCAAGGTAGCCCAAGAAGTTTGGACACAAGGAACTGACATAATTCGAGCTGGAGTTGCTGCTATCCATCACTAAATATCGAGGCTGAAATTGACCAGCATAACTTCCGAATTGACCAGACTTACCAAGTTTCCAAGTAGAAAGGGACATCATTGAAACTGGCTGTTTTGACTAGTTTATAAGGTGTCATAGACCAGTGTTTCTCAACCTGTGGGTCATGACCCAAAAGTGGGTCACAAGAATATGTGAAAAGGTCACGAACAAGCTTTAAGAATGGATCAACAAACTTTAAAAATGGATTCTCCTTTTAAACGAGAAAATCATGGGGAAACTGTGGCTTTTCTCTTACAGGCTATCGGATGCCCAGTCTGCAGGGGGCTGCTTGGGGGTCCCCACACACTGGGGCTCAGGCCTTGGGATGAGAGACACTAGGTCGGGACTGGCCACTGGTATTTACAAATGGGTCCTAGTACAAAAAAGGCTGAGAACCACTGTCATAGACATACCACACCAATTTAGTATGCTACTGCATATGAGCCAATAATGCAGACTTTCTCTAAATTCTCCAATTGTGGCTTTATACAACTATGCAGCCTTCTATAGGCTCCTTGAAAGAATTGCACAGTTTTGGGCTATGTGTTTGTATGCTAATAAGTCAAGCCATCGAGTTCTAGAGGGAAGTTGAAAGGAATAATGTTTGAATTTTCTAGCTTGTACTGCTTTGTTACAGGCAATAGGTGCAACATTTGCTGCTATGATTGGTGCTGGAGTGCTGGTTCGGTCAATACCCTATGACAGTAGTCCTGGTGCCAAACACCTGGCCTGGATGTTGCATTCAGGTATGTGGTCTTATCTTTCAGTATGAATATCAAAACAACTGAACATCAAATGCTTTAAATAAAGTAAGCATGTGGGTTGTAAGTAAGTGGGGTGGGGTGTTCTTAGTGAAATCAGACTGCCTTTCAGAATAATAATGAATTAAGTAGTTTTTGGGAGGGAATTGAACTTCTAATCCTTCTTTTCTGAAGTAATTTCTGTGTGGATGTTTAAAGAATACTGTGTCAAAATATCCTTACTGTTTTATGGCTTAGTTCTAAAGGTGCCTTTTGGCTAGTGTATCAAATACATTGTCTAGTATTCAACGATCTGCTATGTTTAAATAAAAACAGACCAATAGCAGGTCCACCTCTGTGGAGGGCCTCCTGGAATTCTTTTTCCTACCAACAGTTTCTAAATAGAGTAGATGACAGGGGGAAAATGTTTGTAAAGTCTTAAAGAGAGTGAGTCGTAACCTTTCATTCACTAGTCAGCCACAGAGTATCCAAGGCCTTTCTTTCAATCTAAAAGCTTTCCAAATGTAGTGAGTTTTTTCTTTTTTTTTTTTTTTTTTTTTTTTTTCCCCCCTTTTTATATGTTCTATAACATGTCCTCTGAGCTAGTAGGTTAGGTACAGCTAAGAGTTTGTATTAGGTGAGATGTTGACAGCCCAGAATAAAAGAACAGATTAACCTTCCTGGGGAGATTCAGAAGGATACTTGAGCAGTTGAAAACTAATCCAGACTGAGTGCTGGAAGAAGTATAAAGTCCTAGTTGGGGTGGCTTGTCCTATGTGTGACCAATGAATCTCATCAACTCTCAATGAATCTCTTCAATTGTCTAACTCAGAACATGGAAGTTAGTGATAAACAAGTAGCATATTGAATGTTTTCATAATTAGTTATAACTAGCTTTCAAACACTTCTTGAAAATTTATTGGAAACTGCCCTTTAAAATCTTAGTCCAAAGCTGAAGGTATAGACGGACAAATCAGTTAAACTGATTTGAAAGGGAGCATGCTTATTGCAGTAAGGCAAAAATTTTTCCTCTGACAGATTCAACTGTCTGCTCCACCCTGTGGTAAATGAAACTAAATGGCAATAACTTACCACTTGTTCACTCAGTAGCAAATAAATTTGCCTCACTTCCTGCAGAATAGGAGTAGGCAGGTGAAACAATTCCAGTGAGTTAGCTGAGGTGCTTGTCTGATTAGATTGCACAAGTGTAGTGCTGTGAAGGGGGGCATCTGTCCACATTACTGAAAATAAATGACTTTGGAGTGTTCTGTTCCCTTGTCACTTTTTCTTTGGGTCAGTTCAAAATGTCTTGGTAAATAGCAGGTGAGTTTCCACCTGTCCCTCTTTGTTGGATTTACTGTGCTCTGAAGAGCCTGAGAGGCTGCTCCCTTTCTACACAACTGAAATTGACAGTAGAAAAATGTACCATCAAATGTAGGAATTTAACTAAAATTTTTAATCTAATCTTGGTTACATAAAATGAATTTGTAAGTAGAAATGTTTGTCAAGTATAACCTTCTAAAGAACTGTAACTTTTCTATTGTTATATGAAGATATATTGACATTAAACCTATAATAATACATGGAACTACTTGCCTCTTGCTGTCTTTTTCAATTTACTAGCTGAATGATTGCCTTATGGTAACATGGCATTATAAGTACTGTTCTAGTAGTAATTGCCTCATCAAAAGTTTTGTATAATCAGGTTGTACGAGTGCCTATGCAAAAGACTACCTCTAGAGTTCTAAAATGGGTGAGTCGGGTGTTACTTGGATTGGTTTTATTTCTGTAAATGTATGCAGTTTTGATCTGTGACAATACTTTAGTGTCATTCAGATTACTTGGATGTAAGCCAGTCGCTTTCAGTCTGCTCCCTGTTGTCACCATATTTCTAGTGAGCCATCAACTTTATAGATAAGTGAGAAGGTGTTAGAACAACACCATGACTCTCGTCTTGATAGGAGCTGCTAGTTAGCTGCTGTACACTTACACTCTTAGAAGTTGAATAAATATTGTACAGTAAGTGAATCTTATTTCTGCAATATTCCCTTAAGTGAGTTATGATCTGACAATCTGAAATTGCTCTTGGGGAAATAAGCTTCTCAGTAAAAGAATTTTAATTCCTCTCTGTATCTGAACGAACATCCTATGTACCTCTCTTTCTTGTGTGTATTGTGGCTTTTTTGTCAGAATTCACTCACAAATTAAATATCCCCATATTCCCTTCACTGTAAGGAGAGAGGAGCCAAAAACTATACCTAAAACAATGGGTTTCAAATAAGGGGTGGTTGATAGGCAGCTGCTTTATAGGAGTCAAGCTGAGATTTGAGACCAGTATTATATTTGCAATACACTAAAAATATATTAGGTACTGCCTCTTATTTACAAAGTCAACAGCAGCTTTGCAGTGTTACGGTTTCCATATATGCCACTTAACCTGTACTATAAATACATACATAAATGTGATTTTGATTGGGGGGGGGGTTTCCTGGCTTGGATGGCATCTATCCTAAAATGTATTGAGATCTTAAGGTTTGACAAATGTAAGGAGGCTAATATTTGGCTTCTCTACAAACTTAATACCATACTTGCTTATTCAGATTTTAAGATGACCCTCCAATAATTAGCTTGTATGTATGGAAAACTTCATAAATTTGTTGTTACTCTTTTCCACATATAGAATCTAATTGGACAGATGTCTTAATTCATCCCTCAGAGGGACAGGCAATTGGGAGGCATGTAATATTGCCCCTGCTTGTGCTGGCTCCCCTTCCCCCCCCACTTCCTGGGGACATGTGGTGGGAGGGAACCTTGTCTTTAAATACCATATTTACTTTACTTTAATTCTATATTGAACATCATTCTGTTTGGGAGAGGAATTCATTCCTGCGCTTGTTACAGTGCTTGCACCCTGAAGCATGTGACTGTTTTTCTAATATTGGCATAGCTATGCAGTCTATCCTTCCCTCTCCATACTACAACCACAGTATCAAGTACCTATGGGATAGGCTAAGTATCCTATACAGCACAAAGCATTTCTTTTGCCTGTTCAACCCTTAGCAGTGGTTAAGTTTTGAATAAGTCCTTGTTATTGTCACCAGCCAGCATAAAAAGGCAGATTCTTTTTCTGAAGTTTTTCTTCAAGTAAATTAATGTAGCTCAGTTCCTCTAAATACCATACTTCATGGTGAATTACTCGTTCCCCCCCCCCCCCAGTAAATTACATACTAGCTCTTCCCTCTTGTAAGCCTTCTGAACCCAGTAAGATTGAACAGAATGTAAACGAGTACAGAATACTCATAGGTCATCAAGTTCAGTCTCTGAATTTGTGCCATTGACATTTGACTGAGACATTATCCATGGGTCTTTGTCTTCAGCTGTTCAATACTAAACATGATTGTACATCAACTTTTCTTGCTTGTCTTTTCTAGGTGTCATGGGTGCAGTGGTGGCTCCTTTGGCCTTCTTGGGTGGCCCTCTACTGATCAGAGCTGCCTGGTACACAGCAGGGATTGTTGGAGGTCTCTCAATGGTGGCCATGTGTGCACCAAGTGAGAAGTTTCTGAACATAGGAGGACCACTAGGAGTGGGTGCAGGCTTCATTGTTGCATCTTCAATTGGTAAATAAAAAATCTAAATTTCTGATAAGTGTCTAAAGCTGAGTTCAGTTAATCATGAAGGCTAAGTGGAGAAAGGTACAAGCAACGTTAGCTAGTGAGAATTTCTCTTGCTCCCGTAGGTTTTTCCAGTCTGCAAAGTGTCATCATGTTTCTGTCCACAAACATTTCTGTACTGTTAAAAGAACTCTATAGAGAAGCTTGAAAAATAGGCTTGTTATGGAACTCGGGGGGGGGGGGGGGGGGGGGGGGGGGGTTCGCGGGGGGGGGGGGGGGGGGAGGTGGAATCAGCCTGCTTAACTTTTTAAGTAAGCTTTACCTCAGTCAAAAAACATAGCAGGCTTTTCTTATTTTACTTAAGCAACATTTTTTTAAAAAAAACTTGTTTTTAATTCCCTGAGGAGTTGTTGATTGTTTGTTTTTTATTAACTTGGGGGCGGGCAGCGCTACACTTTGAGCAGTCTGAACGTTAAATTTAAGTCTGGACCCTCTTCATTTTGGGACTTTCATGCTTAAGTCAAGGTTGCATGTGTGCTGCATTACCCCTTCATATTAAGATACAGCTAGTCACTCTAGAATTTCATGACTTTCAAGTGTAATAATCTGATTAATGTATTGTAAATTTTAATGTCACTCCCTACTGTGTTTTATATGACCAAATCCATGAAAATAACAGGCATACAAGATGCTTCATAAATGGGATGAAATTTCTTAGTAGTGGTATGAGTGGTATTGTAGCTGTGATAGTCCAGAAGTTATGCGAGAGGAAAGGATTTCTTAGGGTGATATCATTTACTGGGCCAACTTTGTAGCTGGGATCAAGTTAGACAAGCTTTGCACTGCAAGACATTCTTTATCAGGTCCCTGCTCACAGGAAGCCAGCTCAGGTCCATTTTAAAGGTATCTCCCTAAAAAAACCTTACCTCTCATGGAATTTCTTCCAAGATCCTTTCTGTGTAACTTTATTGCAGATAATATTTGAGCAATACTCTAATCATGTAACAAAGATGATTGCATAACTAATAAGTAGAAGGAGCCAGGGGCATCTTTTTAACATCATTTTTGTAAACTTTATTTTAGGATCTATGTTTTTGCCTCCTACTTCAGCACTTGGTGCTGGCCTATATTCTGTAGCAGTTTATGGTGGATTGATACTCTTTAGCCTGTTCCTGCTGTATGATACACAACACATTATTAAACATGCAGAAACTCATCCATTTTACGGAGTAGTAAAATATGACCCCATCAATGCGTAAGTATTTTTTTTCCCCACTGTGTTTCTTCTCCAGAAGACTTTGAGCTGTGTAAATTTTGTTACCTGAACAAGTTAAATCAATTACATTGCAACACAAATTATTTTTAGCATTTCTAGCCTCTGTCACTATAATACACTAAAACCAGGAACACTAGCTACAAATAGTAAGGATTACTTCTGTCTTCACTCAGAGCTAGGTCTCTGATACCAATTGAACTGTATTTAGAAGTATGTTTTTACTCTACTTTGTTTTGGAGGATGAAGCATACATTTCTAAGTAGTACAAAAGTATAGTCCTGGGGGAGAATAGTGGTAGGCTATCTTTTAGGATTTTATGTTATTTTAGGATCAAATAAGTTTGATCCTAAAAGAACATAATTGCCACTGACTGGGTCAGACCATAGGTCTGTTTTGCCCCGTATCCTGTGTAACAGTAGTAGAGTGGATGCTGAAAGGGAGAATGATCTGAGTATGACCTAAGGTTATTTTCTACTGTTCTCTCAGTTGCATCCTCCATCATTTAACATCTGGGAAGTTCTGATTCAGAGGCTGTATCCTTAACTCCTATTCCCAATAGCTATTGGTGCCCTCTTCCATCAGGAATTTGTCCAGTCCTTTTTTGAATCTCGCTAAACTGTCATCTTTCACAACATCTAGTGGCAAGGAGTTCCACACTTCAATGACACATTGCATGAAAAAGAGCTTCCTCTTGTTAGCTTTAACAAGAAAAGGCATGGAGGTAACTGGAAGGAGGACATGGGGACCTGCCCAGAAGAATGTAGAATGTTGACCTATAAATCTTGGTCCCAGTAACCTAAAGAGAAGCTCAGTGAAAATAGAACTTGCCCCAAACAAACTATTACTGCAGAATCCTGTGACAAACTGCATTTTCCTCAACCATTAGCTGCTTGTTAACAAATAACTTGGCTGCTGTTCATCATGCAGAATCTCGGTGATTCACATCTTTTTAGATATAAACTAATTGTAAGATGGCTGCCTGGTCAAATGGCAAAGGTTCAGGGAGGCACAGGTTCTGTTTCTGATTCTGCCACTGGCATGCAAAGGGATCTTGTAAGTCAGTTAACCTCACAGTGGGTGTCTACACACGCACTTTAACTAAAGAGAGTGGTTTTCAAGTGATGTCTACACATGCACTTTAATGTGCATTAAGATGGGCTAATGTGCATTTTCCTAGTATCTCACAGTGAAGGGTGCCTATAAACAAGCCAGGAGCCTGCTCCGATGTGCTATAATTGCAGTGTGTCGGAGTATGGTAATTGCCATGCTCCAACCAGCCTCCACATCACGTGTACCAGCATCACCACGCTTCAAAATGGTTTGTGGGGGACTTTAAAGCTTGTTCGAGCTTTAGTTAAAGCGCCCTCCCACCATTTTGAAGTGTGGGAATACTGATATGTGAGATGCTCTGGGCACTTTTAATTAGAGCAGCTCTCAGAGCCATTCTGATTAAAGTGCTGCCATCCCTTCCCACCTCCACTCCTTGAGCACATGTAAAAAATGCCTGGAGGCACTAGATTTAATGTCATTAACTAAAGAGTATTAATGCACCTGTAGACATGCCTGGTACCTCCCTCCCCAATGCACATCTGTCATGTGGGGGTAATTAATATTGACCTCCACTCAGAATGTAGCCTGAGAGAAATTGTGCTATTAGAAGTAAAACTCCAAAGTCTCTCGCAAACTCTAGTTTCTGTTAGTAACACTTGCACTAGTTCTAGTGTTTGGAATTCACATGTAGCAGTGTCACTTTAAAACAGCTGATTTTTTTTTTCCCCTTTTACATAATTTTAGATCTTTTGTGAGCCTTTATCAGTTTGATCTTTTTAAACTTGTTTGTCACTTATTGTTGCCCTTTTATATTGGTGTCACTTAACTGACTGGTTTTCTGTTCCTTAGGTGTCTGGGCATCTACATGGAAACACTGAACATCTTTATCCGGGTGGTCGCTATGCTTGCTACTGGTGGGAATGCAAAGAGAAAGTGACTTTTTTCTTTGCAGCTATCTGATCACTCACCAAACACTTCTTAAGTCTTCTATCCAATAAAATGTGATATTGCATAGTAAGCTCATACAAATCAGCTTGAAGTATTTCAGCATCATTCTTGTGTTACAGTACAGTGAGATTCAGAATTAATAGTATTTTTCTTCCCCTCAAGAACACATTTCTTAGTTAACTTGTGGCTTTAAAAAAAAAGAATTTGAACTAGTACTTTCAAATATGTACATATTCTCAAAATTATGTTCTAAATATATGCAACCAATATGAAGCCTGTTCATCTGAAATATTTTTTTCAAGCGTTTAGTTCAGTAACTCGCTGTACAAAAAGAGCAAGCTCTCAAAAAAAAAAAAAAAAAAAAAAAAGAGGAATAAAGCATGCAGGAAGCTGGCCCAGGAGATGGTACTGGAATAAGGAATCTTGTAACAAAAAAACAACTGGATGGTGTTTGAAAGCTAGTACTGTCTGGTAACAGTTGGGTGATTTGTATATCAGCGAACTAGTTTTTAATTCCTCAATCATAGGTGGACCTTTATAACATCTTAGCAGAAAACTTTGTGTTTCTCTATGCTGGCTTCAAGGACTGGATGGAGTATTGTGAACCTACCTGAATTGAGGTAGGCAGCATGAAGACGCTTGTGCTTGCACTAAGTAGAATGTCTGTCCTACGGATAAATAGAACTTCAGCCCCTTTCTGGAGCAGCCTTGAAAGATGAGGATGCCCAGTAACTTGATTTTTGCACTGAGCAGTTTAACTTCCAAAATTTCAACCCATAGAAGTATTAGTCCCAGAATCCACAATTTGAGTTAGTAGGTGTTTTTTGTTCATTATTCCCCCTGCAAATACTACAGTTAAAACTCTCACTTGCAGTGGTGAACTCCCAAGGTCTGTATCTAGAATGATCATTAGCTGGTCAGACAAATGTTTAGCAAGTTTGAGTGCTGCTGAAACAAAAGGCTTGAGACCTGCATTCAGTTTCTTTAAATCCCTGAGTTTTCCCTTCCCCAAACACATGCCATACAGGTGACATTTAAAGTTCATTCTGTTTTGGATCATACTGACTTGCCAAAGAAACTACCACTTTAGTAGCAGTTTGGGATCTCAAAGAACGCCCCTGCTAAGATTCATTGTGAACTTTGGCAAGGATGCATTTGTCTTTATCTAGTATCACACTTCATAAATCAAAAAACTACAAGATTGGGTTAACAGAAAATATTCTGAAATTACTATGTGCCAGGTGTTGTTGGAAAACCTTTAGTATAGAAGCAGTAAGATTTTTTTCCTTTTTTTAAACAAAGTTAGTGACCAGTTCTGGTATAGGTCGTATCAAACCAAAGTTTTTGTTTTCTCTTATCTAAAAAATGCTATGCTTGTGTAGTTGATGTCTGACACAATAAAGTTGTAACCCAGCAGTTTGGCCATACAACTATTTGTTTTGTAGTCCTTTGTTTAGTTTAGCCACAGACAGTGATTAAGGATTGGCAATGGCACAAACTTCTTTTTTTTTTTCTTTCCCCTTTGTTCTTCCTCATCCTTCCCTTGTGTTTGAGTCCTTGTACAGGAGGTACCATGTTTAATTTTTTTTTCCCGTGTATGCATGAAGACAGCACTACCACATGCAAATATGAACATCTTACTGGGTTTTTTGAGCAAGCAAAAGACTTGTGATTGCTGACACAGGCAGAGGTTCATAGCCCATTCCAAGGGCCTCATTTAAAAGGCACCCTTTAATCATTAGCCTCTTTTATCAATACAGGTGTTATCAATTTAAATTTAAGCACAATATAAACATTTTGTAATGCAGCTCAGTCAGTTTTTTTTTTTTTTTTTTTTTTTTGTTAAAAAAAAATATATATATAATATGAATCTCAAATGTAAGGATAGAATTGCAGCTTTTAGTTAAGAGTGACTTGATGGCCTTAGAAAATTCTGGCAATCTTAGTAATGGTATAGGATGATACGCTAACTGTCATAATCTGTCATCATCACTTAAGTACCTACCATCAAGACAGTAGTTTATCCAAAAGTGCCCATGATACTGTGTGTATCGGCAGCACTTCATAACATGAGGATATGATTTCTGTATCGGTACTAACTACTGCACTCTGATTTGCATCGGTTTCAGTAAATTTCTAAAAGCAATGAATTGGAAATATTTTTTTGTTTGTTTTTTATAGTCATAAATTACTGCCACTTCCAAGCAGTCTGTCAAAGCAAGATTCCCTAACGGTAAAATGGCCAACACTCCAAGCATAAATATTACAAGACTGAGCAAGAGTGCCTGCTATACCAAAGGGGAAAAGATGGGGAACGATCTTAACCTGCTGATTTTTGTATCCGCTATGCCAGGGATTATCAGTGTCATTGTTGCTGTTCTTTTCAGGCATTAGTGATGTGTTGTTGTTAGTGTTGAAGTCTCAGGAACTGCGATGACAGCAATAGTCACAGCCAGGGGATCCGAACACCAATCATGACTTAAAGAATGACCGCAGGCTTGGTTTTTTGGAGTGTTTTTTTCAGTGGCAAAGATTGGACCAGGTTTGTTATCTGTAAGCAGAGTCCTAACATGTTTTAGTCTAACAAGTACATTGGACCAGAAGTTAAGGCATTTGTACCTCTGACAAAGTAATCAGCTCGACGTAGATTCCCCTAGCTGCTACAAAATTCCCGTTTGCCAATTCTCCGTCTTATAATGCTCAAAGCAAATTATGTATTACATTTTCTCTGTATCTTGAATATCTCAAACCATCCTGTACCTGGGCTTGTTTCATGTGCTGTCCTGGTGTTCCTGTTCCAGCCTTATCCTACCTTACACCATCTTGGTAGGAATTCATGTGTGATCCACATGCCAAGTTATATTTGTGAGGAGTCCATGCATTCGTCAGGCTGGCTAATGAGGTGTACTCTGGCCAATGCTTTAGTAAAGCCTTTGTGTGAGCAGCATATATTGATGTGGTATAGGCCTTGCTAGAACATTGATCATCTGACCCACAGAACTCCCTGTGGATCCGTGGGGAGTGGACTGTGGCCCCATGGACAGTGGTGCGCTAGGTCATGTGCATGGGGCCCAATCCCCACTCAGCAGTGCAAGGCCCCTAGAGTCTACTCCTGGTGCACAGGGGTGATGCAGGGCCTTTGTAGCTCAAGCCCTTAATGCAGAACCAGGTGAGGGCAGCGTAAGGCCCCAGCACTCAATCCTGGTACATGGAGACTCGCTCTATACCCACAATGCCAAGAGGTTGAGCTCTGTTGTACTATCCTGAAGAGCTGGGCTACCATATACTCGCATATTTACTACGTTCTATAAACTAGTAATAATGAAATCTTAGCGCTAGGTTTTACATGTTTAGCCTAGGGTGGCCATCATAGAGGAGCAGAAAACCTGAATCTCCTCTGTCTTCTATTGATATGAAACCCCATGCTTTTTATGACCTCTATTTTTTCTCTTCAAGAGAAAAGTAGGACATAAAGGTGTGGTGTTTTGTATTGATTAGAGGACACTCTGGTTGTCCTCTATCCTGTGATGGCCACCCTAGTTTAGCCCTATCACCCTGATGTCTCACTATTACAAGACTTTGAACAAGCTAAAAGAGTGAGCAACTAAACTTACTAATTCAGTATTTAACTTCTTTAATGTACAAACAGAGCCCAATCTTGCAAGATTCAAGATTAATTTTACTCACCACAGTATTCCTATGGTTTTTAATAGTAAATATTTTGCACTTTGATGTAGTTGTAAGAGTAATGATCTGAATTATAGGGATGTATGTAGCAATATCCTGAAATAAGAGTAAGGTTCTACTCATGGGTTTCTGTAACTTTTTGTTTTCCTGTACCACCACTAGGTGGAGCTTAAGTGGAATAAAAGGAAGACTCTTAAACATGTTGATTAAGGGCACTTCTATTTTCTAATGACATAATCTGCCCCAGAAAGAAGAACAAGTAGAGAGAACCTGAAAGACCAAATTAGCTTAAATGAAGGTAAAAGTAGCAAACCAGTGGGGGTGGGGGGGTGTTGGTAGTGGGGTGAGAGATATTGGTAAGATACTACTTTTAAGACCGGATTAAGTTTTTCCTCCTCACCAAAAATCATGTAAAGTTCAGGGAACTAAGGAAAGTCTGGGACTCTTAGGAACTAAAGACGGAAGCAGAAGTACAGGGAAAAAAATCCTAGAAACTACAGAGCCTACAGGTGAAAGAGAGACCTAACTGATGCAAGAAACTGGGACAATGTTTTTAAAGCTATGAATTTCTGTCTTAAATCTCTGGGTGCATCCAGCTTATCTAGTGTGGTTTGCGGCACTTCAAACCTGTTTGGGACTCCTTAAGCTGCATGTGGCATATGTACAACTCTTTGCTGTGCTGCAAGTTTGATATCAAGAACTCCCAGTGTCAAAAAATTGCAGCAGAAACAGCATGGCACACACTCCAGGAGCTGGTGCCAGCAGACATGGATACTCTGTACTCTAGGGAGACACTGGCTGCCAGCCAGAGCATCTCCCTTCCACTAGTTGTCCCCAGCTCCTGGAACAGCGGGAGCTGGAAGTAGGGAAACAGCAGTTTCCCTGAAGCAGGGCAGTTTGCCCTACACCAAACTGCACATATAGCGACACAAATTTGTGCCTTGTTTTTGCCACTGCAAGCACACACCCCTGCATGAGGAGATGCACCCCCTGAGTTTTATCTTGTGAACCATGTTTCCACACCTAACAGTGCTAACATTGTGTAGTGCCCTAAGGTGCCACTGAAAGGGCCTCAAGGCCCAAGGGTGTCGCACCATGGTTGAATCATTGAACTGTTACGTTTATGTCCAACAACCAATGGAAAAGTCTCTAATGTAAATTGCAAAGACCACTTAATTACAGAACTTGATGCTGGGAAACAAGATCATATCAGTAAAAATATAATCGGGGAAAGTATTCATGTGGAATTGGGTATGATTTAAAAAAAAAAAAAAAAGTTTGACAGATCAGCATGCTAAAAATATTACCCAATGTGACCAGTGGTGACACTGTTTGCTTTGACAATGGTGCATCAGCTAATTACTTCTGCTGTAGGGACAGTTGCC